GGCTAGAGGACCCTGCTTGTAGTATGGTTCAGTGTCAAACACTGGGTCTTCTTTCTCGCTCTCGATGATCATGTTGTGCAAGATGACACATCAAGTCATAATCTCCCACGTTTGATCTTTCGATCAGGTCTGAGCGGGGTACTGGACAACAGCAAATCGAGATTGGAGCACACCAAATGCCCGCTCGACATCCTTCCTGCAAGCCTCCTGAACCTTCGCAAACCAGACGTTCTTGCCTCCTGGCACAAGGTTTGAGATCGTCTTCACAAATGTCGACCATCTCGGATAGATGCCATCAGCTAGATAGTACCCCTTGTTGTAGTGCCGCCCATTGATCTCGAAGTTCACCGGAGGAGAATGACCTTCAACAAGCTTGGCAAAGACAGGAGAGCACTGCAGCACGTTGATGTCATTGTGAGTTCCTGGCATACCAAAGAAGGAGTGCCAAATCTAGAGGTCATGTGTGGCCACCGCCTCAAGTACCATACTGCAACCGCCTTTGGCGCCTTTGTACATCCCCTGCCAAGCAAATGGGCAATTCTTCCATTTCCAATGCATGCAGTCGATACTTTCAAGCATCCCAGGAAATCCTCTTGCTGCATTCTGTGCTAGGATCCGAGCAGCGTCTTCTGCATTGGGTGTTCTCAAGTATTGTAGTCCAAACACGGCCACCACTGCCCGACAGAATTTATAGAAACACTCTATGCTGGTGGATTCGGCCATGCGCCCATAGTCGTCGAGTGAATCACCGGGAGCTCTGTATGCAAGCATCCTCATCGCTGTCGTGCACTTCTGGATGGAGGTGAATCCAAGGGCGCCGGTGCAATCCATCTTGCACTTGAAGTAGTTGTCGAACTCCTGGATGGAATTCACAATCCTGAGGAAGAGCTTTCGGCTCATCCGATAACGGCGCCGAAATGTTTTCCCGCCGTGAAGTGGAGCATCGGCGAAGCAGTCGGAGTAGAGCATGCAGTAGCCTTCGAGACGATGTCGGTTCTTTACTTTCACCCGCCCCGGCGCCGAGCCACCTCGCCGCGGCTTTTCATTGCTCGCCAGTAGCTGGGCGAGGGCGGCGAGCACCATGAGATGCTCTTCTTTCTGGACGTCGGCCTCGGCTTCCTCCTCCAGCAGCCGACGAGCGCTTCCTCGTCATCCGAGTCCATCGCCGAGGCAGGCAAATCGCCGAACACCTTGCGCCCGGTGAGCGTGTACCCGCCGCTAAACTGACCCTCCGCAACCGGAAACGCCCAGCTGCTGTTGGAGGGGCTGCCGCGGCGAAGCTCTGCTATTTTTCCGGCGTGGAATGGCTATCTAGTGGTGAAAGGCGGCGGGCGGCGCCGGGATATAGCTACTAGCGGCCGAGGGCGCGATGGTGGGAGGCGAGTCGGGGAAGAAAACTTTAACTTTTCCCCTAACGACGTGGGCCAGCCGTGCTTTTCCCTTGCGCCGGAGCCCCCAATTGTCCCCGGTGCACCGAGTTCGGCCTGTGACCGCCGGGCAAAAAAAGTGCCGAATCGGCGTTTTTTGGAGTCCGGGGGCACGACTGGGACGTTTTTTTGGCACCGGCGCCGAAAAAATGACCGGGGGGGGGGGGGCGCTTATTGGAGGTGTGGCTAGAGATGCTCTTAGCTCAGCTCACTCGTCTTGCTTCTCCGCTCCTCAGCTTGCTTGTCGTTTTTTTTCCTGCTTGCTCATTTGAGCTCCTTCCTAGTCGGCTCGCTCGCTTTTTATTCAACTGCTGGTTTTTGAGGGAAAAACGACCCTTTAGTTTTCCATAGATTAAATAGTTCATAAATGTGACTACATTTGCAGATTTAAAAAAAGTTACAAATTTTAAAAATATTCTTGAATCTGAAAAATGTTGCAAATTAAAAAAATGTTTGCTAATTTGAAGAAGTTCGTAGGTTGTAAAATTGCTCACCAATTTGAAAAAAGATCGAGAATCTGAAAAAATAAGTTTAAAAAACGATTGTCAACTTGAAAATTATGTGCAAACTTGAATTTTCTTCTAAAATTTGAAAACTGTTCACAAATTTGAAAATGTTTGGTAACCTAAAAGGTTTACAATTTTTTTTGCAAATTCAAAAAGATGGTCAATGACTTGAAATTTTATCATTATTAAAAAAATGTTTGCAAATTCAAAGAAATATTTTGTGGTCTTAAAAATTCTATGAATTAAAAAAATCATGAATTTGAAAAGGAGTTCATAATTTCAATAAATTTCCAGAAATTTGAAAAATGTCTTGGTCTTAAAGAAGTTCCCAAATTTGATTTCATGAAATTCAAGGAAAATTTTGCCGATTTGAAATATATTAGCATTTTTTTTAAAACGTAAACTTGGAATAAATCACGAATTGGAAAATTGAAAAAACGCAAAAATAAAAGGAAATGGGAAAATATATAGAAATTTTGAAAAAAGATAAGGAACGGGAAAAAAGATAAGGAACCAGAAAAAATGAAAATAAAAAGGCAATATAAAGCAAAAGATAAAATGCACAGAAAAGAAAAAAAATAAAAAAAATCTTCTGGAAGCTCCCTGTTTTTTGAGGACATGAGGCATTCTGGAAGCTTCCTTTTTTTTGAGGAATGCCCACACTTTATTAAAAATTCTTTTTGAGACAACCACACTTTGTGAATTAAAACCGGCGAAATGGTAAGCCTAACTGGGCCAGCCCGTCTAACAGCGCGTTCCTGGGCCTTGGGCCGTGCTAGGTTTTGACAAGCCCGCCTCGTCTCCCTGTCCCTCCAGGGTCAAAGCCACTACCACCACTAGGGCCCTAGCCACCACATCGCAGCCGGCTCCCTCCCTTCCTCCTAGACAGGAGGTACCCCGCAGCCCGGCTCAAAAGCTCCACCGCCGCGCTCCGCAAACCCGACCGAATTCTCGGCCTCTCGCCCAGGGAGGCGACGCCACCGCGACTTCCCTCCCCGCCGTCGCCTCCGCCGCCGCGCCCGCCGCGCGGCCTTTGCTTCTCTCCTCGGAGAATCGAGGCACGGGTGGTAAGTTTTTGAATCTCCCCGCCTCAAATCGGCCCGTTCGCCTCCTTACTGCCTACCGCCTTCAGCTTTACTTGAGCGAAGTCGCTTTTGCCTTGTTTATCTTGATCTGTTGTTTGCCTGCGTCGGGCAGGGGAACTGGCGCCGAGTGTTTCTTTGGTTCAAAACAAGTGTTTGGTGTTTCTTCTGCTGAAAACAAGTGTTTGGTCTTTTGCTGTTGAAAACAAGTGTTTAGTGTTGCTTAGATGCGTATCGGGTGTCCTCAAGTTGTGATTTTTGGGCGCTGTCTTACCCCCCAAAACATCCAATAGCGTTAAGATTTGACACTGTAAAACTCCCCTGTGCTGCAAAGCGTATGGATCGTGTTCGGTTATTGCAATTAAGACTGTTTTAGGAACCTGGACAGACACTACGTCCGCCATATTGTTAGCAATGTAGATTTCGTAGTACAATCCATCTTTAACTTTATGTAGAATCCCTTTGTGTGCTATATGTTTTTGATCTTAATCTTTTTTAGTTTCCATTCCTGTAAGGTCCATCGCGTGTGAAGATATCTAACATTCGACACATATGCTAGTGAAGGTTTGAGGGAACTGATCTTTATCTTATATTTTGTCTGGTTGAAATGGCACACTTGCAGTAGCAATCACATGTGTCATAGTTATCTTTTTCTTGGACTACTAGGAACATCAAAGTTGCCTTTTACTATCTTTATGTGATGGAAACAATTATGGATCTCTATTATAAAGAGAACAAGGCATATCTGGTACTCTGTTTGATTCTTCTGGTCGATCTTATAGTTGGCATACAATGTCCAGCGGAACTTGTGCTGACTAAAGCAAATGATTCAAAGTTTAGCACTAATATGTTCCCTTGAATTTGTGATCAGCATATGATGTTGGACTTCTTATAATTTATAAGAGCTTGAGATTCTTGAATCAACTGTTATAGTACCTTATACACCCATAAGAAAACTATCAGGGTAAAACAGCAAAAGTTGGTGACATTAACCATTTTAATTTCTCCACTTCTTATAAGAGTTTGGGATTGTTGAATCAAACTGTATAGTACTCCCTCTGTAAAGAAATATAAGAGCGTTTAGATCACTACTTTAGTGATCTAAACACTCTTATATTTCTTTACAGAGGGAGTACCTTATACACCCGTAGGAAAAATACTAGGGTATTAAAACAGCAAAAGTTGGTGACAACCATTTTAATTTCTCCACTTCTTATAAGAGTTTGAGATTGTTGAATCAAACTGTATAGTACTCCCTCTGGGTTTAGATCACTACTCTAGTGATCTAAATGCTCTTATATTTCTTTACAGAGGGAATACCTTATACACCCGTAGGAAAAATATTAGGGTATTAAAACAGAAAAAGTTGGTGACAACCATTTAATTTCTCCACTTCTTATAAGACTTTGAGATTCTTGAAACAGATTGTATATAGTACCTTATACACCTGTAGGAAAAATATCAGGGTAAAACAGCAAAAGTTTGTGACATTAACCATTTAATTTCTCCACAGCATCTTGTGTTGCCCTTCCATATATCTAGAATCAGACTTTACATTTACTTGTACGCGTGTAGGGAAAATATCAGGGCAAAACAACAAAAATGGGTGACATCCACCATTTAATTTCTTCGCAGCATCTTGTGTTGCCCTTTCATATAGCTAGAATCAGACTGTATAGTTCCTTATACACCCGTAGGGAAAATTATCAGGGTAAAACAGTAAAAGGGGGTGACATCAACCATTTAATTTCTTCACAGCATCATGTGTTGCCCTTTCATATATCAACCATCAATCAGATCTCTAGTTCATTTATTTATATGAAGAGTGGAGCAAAAAAGAACCTTTAACAACACCCTTTTCACCCTACAGTTAGCTGGTTCTTTTTAATTTTTATTTGTGCAATGGACAATATGAATTTTCTTGTATTAGACTTTGTAGGAGTTGATACGCTAAGCATGCTGATCTTGCACTTGCAGTCTTCAAGATGGCCAAAAATTCAAGGAGCATGAAATATTCGTCTGGTGAGCTCAGATCAACGCGTTATTTGAGGCCCTTCAGCCATTGTAGTTTCAAGAGAGTTGCTACCCAGGAGCCAACATTAGCAGCAACGGAGAAATGTGCATGGAAAGACGCGATCTGTCCAGTCTGCATCGAATGCCCGCATGATGCTGTCCTTCTACTCTGTTCATCTCATGACAAAGGCTGCCGTCCATATGTATGTGGAACCAGCTTCCTCCACTCAAATTGTCTCGACCAGCTTATAGAGTCACGCAGAAGCCCAGGAAGCGGTGATGATCCAGGCTCGATAGTGCTCACATGCCCACTTTGCCGTGGTGAGGTTAAGGGATATACACTGGTTGAGCCTGCTCGGGAGCAGCTAAACAGAAACAGGAGGAGCTGCATGCAAGATGGCTGCTCATACAGTGGTACATACCGAGAACTCTGCAGGCATGCACGAAAGAAGCATCCTTCGGCAAAGCCTCGTGCTGCGGACCCTCTACAGACTTATAGATGGAGGCGACTCATGTTCAGAACCACGTTGCAAGACATGATCTGCGCGACGAGCTCGTCAATGCTCCAAGGGCTATTGTCTGCCATGTTGCAGTGGGAGGAGCTTCTGTCATCTGGTTGGCGTGGAGGTGATGATCACCTTGGTGCTGCTAATGATACTGCAGTGTAAATGGCCAATATGGACTTTGTTGCTCTGTGATCTCTGAATTGCTGGCAGAAACATGAGAAAATGATGTGCCATTACCGTTAGCGCAACCTCCTACAGAAGTTGAGACCTGACAGAGTAGCAGTTGCCTGGATCTGTTTTAGGGAGTATGAGTGACCTATATTCAGAAGAAACATTGAGGCTTTCATGGATTTAAAGGTACTAGCAAAGTGGTGGAATGGTTTAAATAGTTTTTTAGGAAGTTCATATCTGTCCATTTTATCTGGTGTGTGATGCACTGCTCTTGTGCATCCCTGTTGACTGTTGCATTGTATGAACATAACATTTTCTTCTGAAATATGCAATTCAACTTGCTATTGATCTCCTCTGGGCAGGTTGATAAGGTTAATACTTTGGCCGATATGTAGATGTCGGAGATTCTTTTTCTTAAAAATGAATTTAGCGGGTATCCAATATCGTATATGAAAGTTCAAAATAAAACATATGAACCTGACATCCACTATTTTGAAGATGGCTAATGGGCCGTGAATAACTGAACGCTGGTCCTTGCTTTATTCCCGAACCAGACTAGCCACTTTTCCATTATGTGACATTTGTCCTCTTTGTAAGCAAGTACAAGAGTTCGCACGCGTCATATATCATATACCAATGTCATTTCACGGTTACAACTTGGATGAAGGTTTTCAATTGCCTTCGGATCCCCAACTATGAAAATGAATAGTTTCTTTTCTAAGCATCGGTGCTTATTTGTATAGCAGACGCTTACTTAGGCACCAGTGCTCAAGGATAAATCAAATTATTTTTATAATCGCCCCTCTAAGCACCTTGCAGTGTATATGACGCGGGATATTATTTGGGAGATTTGAAAAGAGCGGAACGCATGGGTTTTCCCCATCTATGCTAATTGTGGATAAAATAAAAGACAAAAGTTGGCTTTGGACCATCGCAGGTGCAAAGGGTTTGAGTAATGTAAAAACCGCGAGAATAATCTTCTCCTGTTCTCTACCTTCTGGCGACTTTTCTATTATCTTTTTAAACTTCGTCCCTACTTATTTGCACCGATTGTAGGCCCTAGCCTTATTCATGCCATTGCAAAGGTCATTGCCAAGATGCTTGCCATTATACTTTCACCACACATTAATGCAATTGTGTGCAATTCTCAGAGTGCTTTCATCAAGAAGAGAAGTATCCACGAAAACTTTATGTGTGTGAGGAACCATGCCCGACGGCTCCACAGGAACAAAGCCCTCTCCCTCCTCTTCAAGCTTGCTCTCCGGAAAGCTTTTGACTCGGTGCGTTGGGAGTAAATATTTAACATTCTTCGGAGAAGGGGCTTCCCTAGTAGATTTCATGATTGGATTGCCACCCTACTTAGCACCTCTTCGCCGAAGATTCTTCTCAATGGTGTGCCAACTTATCCCATTGCAAATGGTCGCAGTCTTAGGCAAGGAGATCCGCTTTCACCGATGTTGTTCGTCATAGCCATCAACCCACTACAACAAATCCTCAAATCGGCTACTAGACTTGGCCTCCTCCATAAAATCTGGGGACCTTGAGCTATCATCAGGACATCTCTATATGCTAACGACACAACCGTTTTTAATGCGCCAATCAAGGAAGATATCCAGAACCTTGCTCGTATCCTACAGGAGTTCGGTGATGTGACAGGGCTACAAACAAACTTCCACAAGAGCTCATTTGTTCCCATACAGTGTAGGATTTGGCCTAGGGTAGCATCCTCACGGGGCTACCTGCCATGCATGTTACTTTCCCCATGTGGTACCTCGGCCTATCGTTCTCAGTTTCGGCAAATCAAGCAGATCGACTATCAGTACCTTTAGGACAAAGTGGTGATGAAGCTTGTTCCTTGGGAGGGCATGAACATCACTTCGGCGGGTCGTGGGGCGCTCGCCAAATCGGTCCTCACCCCACAGATGGTCCACCACATCATGTCGCTTGTTTCCCCCCGCATGTCCTCAAAAGTATCAACAAGATTGAAAGATTGTTTCTTTGGGCGGGGACCAATAAGGTGATAGTCGGGAAGTGTAAGGTTAATTGTGAGACCTTTTTCCAGGCTTAACCATCTTGGGAGCCTTGGTTTGCTCAATCTTACGAAATTTGCAAGGGAGTTTCGACTTTGGTTGCCATGGCTAGAATGGAAGGATCCCACAAAGATTCAGGTTGTGACGGGCAACCCCTTCGACGAAAAGGACACAAACCTCTTCTATGCTCTCATCACCATCACCCTTAGAAATGCGAAGAGGACCCCGTTTTGGGATGGCCCATGGCTGCATGGGCACAAGCCAAAAGCCATCGCCCCTCTCATTTTGAAAGCCTCCAAGCGGAAGAATTGGAAAGTCAGCGACGTCGTGAAAGGTAATGGGTGGATAAAAGTGATTGACATGAGAAATTGCCTCCCTTGAAACCATGTCGCCGAATTTGTGGAGCTTTCGTCTCAATTTACTCATGTTCCTTTGAACGAGGATGTTGACGACTCTATCCATTGGAAGTTCTCTTCTAACGGTGATACTTGGTGGCGACATACAAAGCTCAATTCTTGGGAGCTATACTCACCCCCATTAACTAGGTCATTTAGAAGGTGTGGGCTCCTCCAATGGTCATTTTTTATGCTTGGCTTACTATCCAAAATAGTGTGTGGACTGCTGACCATCTAGAGTGATGAGGTTGGCAGGATTCTGGGCTTTGCCTGTTATGTACTCCTTCCGTCCCATAATATAAGACATTATTACATTCAATTTATGAGTAAATTGGATGTAATAACGTCTTATATTATGGGACAAGGGAGTAAGTTTGAGTACGAGCCTGACATCTGCCTTTTAAGCCTAAGCCTGATATTTATTTGGGTTTTGATTTTGGGAGGCTAATGATCGTGTTTCTAAGGAACAGAATGCCTTGCTGGAAAACCTTATTCCAAAGAAGAGATTAAGGAGACCATTTTGAGCTCTTATTCTCATGGTGTCCTTGGCAGGATGGGTTTTCTTTTACCTTTAATCAGACGTTTTGGGATTTAATTAGAGAGGATTTTATGGGGCTTATGAGGGATTTTTGAAGCTGGTACTTTGGATGTTTACTGTATTAATTTTGCTATTATTACCCTGATTCCTGAGTAACCTAATGCCAAAGAGATGAAGAAGTTCCGTCCTATTAGCATGGGTAATTGTGTTATTAAGATTTTTCACTAAAGTTATGACTATTAGAGTTTCTCCTATTTGTGATAGGCTTATTTCTCCAAATCAAATTACATTTATTAAATAGAGGTTTATTCCAGAAAGTGTTGTAATGGCTCATGAGGTTATCCATGAGATTCATAGAACTGGTGCCAATGGGCTGGTGGTGAAACTAGACTATGAGAAAGCCTATGATAAAGTGAGTTGGGATTTTCTTATGGAAATGCTTACATCTAGAGGTTTTTGTAGTAAATGGATTGGTTGTATTTGTAGTACTTTATTCCAAAATTCTTTCTGTGTTAGGATCAATGATACCAATGGTCCTTATTTTGTTGGTGGTAAAGGTTTGAAACAAGGAGACCCTTTTCCCCCCATTGCTTTTTAACTTGGTTGTTGATGCTTTTAGAAGATGCTTGCTAAAGACGCTCAACACAATGTAATCGATGGCTTATTTCCTCATGCTATTCCTGGTGGTGGTGTTAGTCTGCAATATGCAGATGACAACAACAACAACAACAACAAAGCCTTTAGTCCCAAACAAGTTGGGGTAGGCTAGAGGTGAAACCCATAAGATCTCGCAACCAACTCATGGCTCTGGCACATGGATAGCAAGCTTCCACGCACCCCTGTCCATAGCTAGCTCTTTGTCGATACTCCAATCCTTCAGGTCTCTCTTAACGGACTCCTCCCATGTCAAAATCGGTCGACCCAGCCCTCTCTTGACATTCTCCGCACGCTTTAGCCGTCCGCTATGCACAGGAGCTTCTGGAGGCCTGCGCTGAATATGCCCAAACCATCTCAAACGATGTTGGACAAGCTTCTCCTCAATTGGTGCTACCCCAACTCTATCTCGTATATCATCATTTCGGACTCGATCCTTCCTCGTGTGGCCACACATCCATCTCAACATACGCATCTCCGCCACACCTAACTGTTGAACATGTCGCCTTTTAGTCGGCCAACACTCCGCGCCATACAACATTGCGGGTCGAACCGCCGTCCTGTAGAACTTGCCTTTTAGCTTTTGTGGCACTCTCTTGTCACAGAGAATGCCAGAAGCTTGGCGCCACTTCATCCATCCGGTTTTGATTCGATGGTTCACATCTTCATCAATACCCCCATCCTCCTGCAACATTGACCCCAAATACCGAAAGGTGTCTTTCCGAGGTACCACCTGGCCATCAAGGCTAACCTCCTCCTCCTCACAACTAGTAGTACTGAAACCGCACATCATGTACTCGGATTTAGTTCTACTAAGCCTAAACCCTTTCGATTCCAAGGTTTGTCTCCATAACTCTAACTTCCTATTTACCCTGGTCCGACTATCGTCAACTAGCACCACATCATCCGCAAAGAGCATACACCATGGGATATCTCCTTGTATACCCCTTGTGACCTCATCCATCACCAATGCAAAAAGATAAGGGCTCAAAGCTGACCCCTGATGCAGTCCTATCTTAATCGGGAAATCATCGGTGTCGACATCACTTGTTCGAACACTTGTCACAACATTATTGTACATGCTCCTTTGGATCATGCTAGAAATTTTAAATGGATACTTTCTTATTTTAAGAAGTTGTCTTGGATGGAAATTAATTTCCATAAAAGTGACATGCGTATCCATGTAGAGGATAACATTGCTAATTCCTTTTCTCAAATCTTTTGTTGCAGATTGGTTCATTCCTTTTTAAGTAATTGGGTGTTCCTTTGCATTTCAAAAAGTTGAGAAGGGAGAATCTTCAACCCATTATTGATAGGATTATTTAGAATATTTCTAGCTAGATTGGTAGGAATTTGTCCTATAGGGGAAAGTTGATCCTACTCAATACTTGCATTGCTAGTATTCCTACCTATCAAATGTCCATGATTAAATTTCCTA